ATTATTAATTAAAAAATGTGACCACAAATTAAAAAATTAAAATGGATAAATTTATCAATAAAATTAAAAAATTCTAATCCGCTAGCGGTTTGGTACAAAAAGTTACATAAACTAACTTTTTCAATCCGCTAGCGATTTGGACCCTAACCGCTATCCGCTAGTCTCAAACCGCTAAATAAAAATTTTACCAAACATTTTAATTGTAGCGGTTTCAAAATATATAAATTTACCAAACACCTATATTTAGCGATTTAGGTGAAACCGCTAACCGCTACCCTAAAATCACTATACCAAACGGAGCCCTAGTTTGACGATTGTTAATAAGAATGAAAAAACAGACGCCCGTTATTAATTGCAGATCTTTGGTATTGAAATAGCTGAGAAAAATATATATGAGTCAAAAAATAGATGAAAATAGAAAAATATACGAAAAGAGTTAGGCTCACTTTGCTTTTACAGAAACTAACTTTTGAAAAAATAGTTAAGTGGTGGGATGGTAGTTTAGACCCAACAAGTTGGCCCAATAAACCCTTGTTTAGGGTATAGGCCAGATTTTAGTTCAAGGCCCAAGTTCATGAACATGGGCTTTTGTTTTTATAATAAGTAATAATTAAGTTTTTGAGCCTAGAAAAAATAGGAAACCAATAGTATATAAATACTAATCCTAAAGAAATTGTAAGGGGTTAATGTCATTGTACTCAGATTTGGTACTGTGAATGCACTCTCTTTGTGCATGATATTTCTCTCTTTAGGGGTTTTCACATAAATCATATATGTTCCTCTTCAATTGATATTTCTTTTCCATTTACAATAAGTACAATGACTTATTAATGCATGAATATGAGAAATAGAAATGTATATTAACAAGTTATCATAGCACTACTTTTTAAAAAGTCCTTTTCCGTGAAGGAAGTAGAGGATTAGCCTATGAGATTTAATTTTGCTTCTACACCTTGAAGAGAACCTAATTACAACATAAAAAAATAAATTATAACAAAAATGTGTACCTTAAGGTTTTGCCTCTATGCGATAACCTTTTATATCTTTCCTCTGTTGAATATAATAATTGCTCACTTTGTTGATGAAAAGATGTTGATATAAAATTGTGAATGTATATATAGATGAAGAAAAGATGTCTTACTCCTGGACAAAGAAACAAATCTCGGAATAACCGAGGGCAAAAGTAAATTAACAAGCAGAATCAATTTCCTCAACTTTTTAGCCGAAGAGTAAAGCCATACATGATGAAGAAACAACTCTAAAACGGGCAAGAAGACGCAAAGAATTTGTCAAAATGCGTGTTCCGGCTGGTAGCATCATTCTTTTATAAAGAGGAAGCAAGGTATAAGATTTAAATGATAAAAAAAAAAAAAAAAAACAGAGGATTACTAAGATTCTGCAGCAAAGATTCTGCTTCCTAAACAAAATTCCTGTCAACACTCAACAGTCCATATGATGAATTCTGCTTTTTGCATGTATTGAACACATGTCAAAACCTTTTTCGCCCAAAAATAGCTACAAAATTAAGGACGGTCAAGCCAACGATTTGAGTTAACTAATAAAGCATGTACCTTCATATGACTTGCCTCTCACTCTTCCCCATTATGTACGTACATCATAAATCTCCAATAATATGAAACAATATGGAAAATTGTGCCTATCAAAATCAAAACAAAAATCATTGAAGAGATTAGAAACCATTAACAAGTTCTTTATTTTCAGAGTTTTGGACTGGAGTCATTACCTCTTGCTTGTTTTGAATGTTTTGAATGTGATCTCATTCCAAACCCCTGAATTTCAAATAATAAGGGACAAAATAACTTCATCAGTTGGATTTCTGAAAAATTGCATAAAACTATAACAGTAGACAAAAAAAAAAAAAATGCAAAGGGTAATAAAATCAAATCTATGCTTCACCTTGCAATTACCACATGAATTGAAATTTACTTCCCAGTCCTTCCTCTTGGTTTATATGTATTAATGCTTCCTTCCAATCAGAATCTGCCATGCGTGCAATAATTCAGGCAGATGTTAGAGAAATCATTGAGAATTAATTAAGAACTGCTTCTAGATGGGGCTTAGAAATATTGTGCAGTGATTGAGAAGTTGATTCTTTGTAGATTTAGTCCTGTTTTGTTACTATAGTTTGTGCAGAAGGTATTAGCCTAAAAATAGGGCTAGATAACGAGCTCCACCTGAAATGTACAGCTACCTTGTTTGACGCATCCAATTCTTAAATCCATCACCATCATGTATATACCGAAGAATAAAGTAATTGCACTCAGATCAGGATATGCTGCAGCTTGCTCGGATGGCAAAAAATATTTTACAGTTATACATCTCTAATGGAGAGAAGATGCAAGTATTATTAATAATAAAGCAGCTACAGTGTCAGAAATTTCTTACCAAATTTTTATGCATCAATTATCAGCCGAAAAATTTTCTACTTCTTTCCATTGTCAGTCAGTTTGTCACTTAGCATTCTTTTTGGCTATTTCTATTTGCTGTAGTTTGGTTGAAATTTTCAATTGTTTTTCTCTGTTAAAATATGAAATGATAGCATAAATAAGGTTAAAACCCCTTTTTGGTCCCTGGACTATTGTACGGACCCCCGATTTGGTCCCTGAACTAAAAAAATCCCTGATTTGGTCCCTACTGTTTACCATTTTACCCCAAATTGGTCCTTCCATTAAAAATCCTCCGTTAACTCACAGACATATAAAAAATTTAAGCCACGTCAGTTGCTAAATGATGACATGGTCATACCCAACACAAAAACAACGGTGGGGCCCACCAATTTACAATTTGCATCATCTTCTTCCTCCAGCATCTTCTTTCTCGAATCTTCCTTCATTCAGACAATCAATTCAATCAAACAATCAAATTCAATATCGATTTCATCTTAATCAAACAACCAAAC